TGTATGGTGTGTGAGTGTGTATGGGTTTGGATTTGTGCATGCGTGCTTGTGTTTATGGGTTTGTTGTGTGTGTGTGTGTGTGTGTACATGTATGTGATTGCACGTGTGTGGATACATGGATACTTTTGCTTGCATTAGTGCGTTTGCATGCTTACATGGTCGTGTGTGTTCTTTTTTAAAAGTAGAATCATAAACTAATGTGTTCTTTTAATGAGTTGATAAATAAAGTAATGACTGATATATTTTTTTTATTCACCAAAAGACAATAGTGGAGGTGAAGCCGTGAAGAAGCGTGTGATGTACCGCTGGCACTTGCTCTACACTTTACTGCAGAACCCTCAAGTGCGACTCATGAGGAAAGGTTATCTGCAGTCACTAATGAGAGCCAGAGGTAAATACGGATAAACTTAAATGGATATGTACAGACAATTACAGATATTTCAACCTCTTTGGGTCTTTGATAGCACAGCCTCTGTTTTGTGTAGGCTGAAAATTTGAGTAAAATATCTGTAATGTGTTTGGGTAATACAGTCTAGCATATAACTCGTGAAATTGGTGGGACATGGAAATATTTTCTTTATGTACGAATTCCGCTATGTACATATTTTGGATATAAAGAATATATGTCATGGCACAATGAAATTTGGGGCTTGCCAAGTATTGGGCATATGGAGTGATTGATATCATCTTTTTAATTCATCTTGCTTTTGTAAAAAAAAGAAAATAGCCCTTTGCCTTGCTTAGAGATTGCTGTTGAGAAGGAATATGCACTATGTAAATGATTTGATTACACAAAATATACCTGTGAGAAATATTCAGGACTTAAAAGTCTGTTCTCTGTGTATGTGTATTGCTTCGTGCGAGTTATATCCATAATAATATATTTGAATAATATCTGTGATAATATATTGGAATACTATCAATAATATATGTAAGTGAAGCGATTTCTATATTATTTGGAATAATTTGATATGCCTGAGTACTATCTTTAATATTTGTGAGAATATAATATCTGTAATAATATATCGGAGTACTATCAATAATATAATGGAAGTGAATTCTATATTACATTGGATTAATATCCGTGATATATGTGAGCACTATCTTTGGTATGTGTGAGAATATTTGTAATATTTGAAATTAATATCAGGTAATGTCAGCTATATATGTGAGTACTATTCGTAATGTCTGTCCATCTCTCTTCCCCGCCCCCCTCCGTAACACACACACACACACACACAAACACACACAAACACACACACACTCACACATACACACACAAATACACACACCCACCCACGTACACAACACTTACACAACCTTCCTCACCCCACCCCACCCCACCCCTTACATACACATGCACACTTGTCCCAGATCTAGGTCTCCACATACCGGTCAGTGACCAGACACTGGCCAGTGATGCTGCGGACATCAGAGAAAGGACTTTGAGCTACCTCCAGGGCGTTCCCGGGCCACAAAGTGGGGACATTGACTCTTGTGAGGACATTGATTGTCATGAGGGCATCAGAGAGAGGACTTTGAACTACCTCCAGGTTGGGGTCCCTGGACCACAAAGAGAGGACATTGACAAGGAGGACATCAAGAGTCACCAGCTTGTGGTCAGTGGTGCTGAGATAACTACCGATGACCGTCAAGCTGAAGATGTTGGTTACGGTCATTCTACTGTTGGTAATGGTAGTGGTGATTTTAGTAATGGTGGTGGCAGTGGTGGTGATGTTGTTCGTGTTTGTGGGGATAATAATGGGGATGTTGTTGTTATTGATAGGGATGTCTGTGACAATAGAGGGGACAGGGAGGGTGGTCATGATAGCTGTAGAGAAGGGGAGGGAGCTATTCAGCGAGTTCTTTCCTCTCACTCAGTAGGTCCATCTACGAGAAATAGTGACCCTTGGTTGGATGGCCCGCCTTGATTGTCGGGAGTTCAAGGGAGGGAGGTGTTTCTGTTAAAGAGAGTGTGTGCGTTTGTGAGAGACAGAGGGAGAGCTAAGGAGAGAGAGAGAGAGAGAGAGAGAGAGAGAGATATATACAAAGAGAAGGAATGGAAAGAGTGATGGAGAGACAGAGAGATGGGGAGATAGGGATAAATGGAGAGGTGGAGGCACAGACAGAGAGAGATGGAGAGACAGAGAGTGAAAGAGAGATGGAGAGACAGAGAGTGAAAGAGAGATGGAGAGACTGAGAGTGAAAGAGAGATGGAGAGACAGAGTGAAAGAGAGATGGAGAGACAGAGTGAAAGAGAGATGGAGAGACTGAGAGTGAAAGAGAAATGGAGAGACAGAGAGTGAAAGAGAGATGGAGAGACTAAGAGTGAAAGAGAGATGAAGAGACAGAGAGTGAAAGAGAGATGGAGAGACAGAGAGTGAAAGAGAGATGGGGAGACAGAGAGTGAAAGAGAGTGAAAGAGAGATGGGGAGACAAAGAGTGAAAAAGAGATGGAGAGACAGAGAGTGAAAGAGAGATGGAGAGACAGAGAGTGAAAGAGAGATGGGGAGACAGAGAGTGAAAGAGAGATGGGGAGACAGAGAGTGAAAAAGAGATGGGGAGACAGAGAGTGAAAAAAGATGGGGAGACAGAGAGTGAAAAAGAGATGGGGAGACAGAGAGTGAAAAAGAGATGGGGAGACAGAGTGAAAAAAAGATGGGGAGCCAGAGAGTGAAAAAGAGATGGGGAGACAGAGAGTGAAAAAGAGATGGGGAGACAGAGAGTGAAAAAGAGATGGGGAGACAGAGATAGATGGAGAGGTGGAGGCAGAGACAGAGAGAGATGCAGAGACAGGAAGAAAGATGGTGGTAGAAAGATAGAGACATGAAGAAACAGACAGGTTGAGGAGGAGGGGTTGGGTGCTGTTGTTGTGTTTTGCACTGCTCAGAAAACTCAGCAACTCTGATGGTGGAATGGGACACTGTCTATCTCTGTTGGTCAACAATCTTTTCTCTTTTCGTAAAGCAAAAAGCAAAGGCTCATTTGCACTTACTATTCCTCTTATCCCTTTTTTCGTAAATTGATCCACTGGTCAGATCAGTAAAAATTTTGAAAAAATATCAGTTTTCGGATTTTGGAGTATCTTAATAGATATCAATATCAAGGATCCATCTTTAGAAGCCTAATTCCTTTATCAAACTTATAAATACCTGGAAAACGCATTTAAGAAAGGCAGCAATGTAGGAAAATCTTCACCAAAAATTATCTCTCTTTGCAGTTTTCTCAGAATTGTTTATCTGACCAGATAGCAACACTATATTGAGTAGATCTCAGAAAGTTACTGTCAGAAGTGTTTCACATTTGGACACAATCTTTTATACACATTTCTCTATAACTTTACAGGAGCATTTTTGCTGTTTATGGTACACATTTGGAGTTTTAGGCCTGTTTTATTTTACAAAATCTTAAAACATTGGAGACCTGAATGTCGTGCATAGCAAGGACTGTAAGGCTCACAAGTCAATATAGAACATTCACATTTGGCTCTGTAAGGTTGTTCTACCTACCAACAGTAATCGCCATGCCAAATATTAGGCTTCTATCTTGATGAGTGTTGATGATTGACAAAATATAGAATTGGTTTTAAAAATGCTGAATCAATCCTTTATTTTTGATGGCTCGCGATTATTATGGCTAAAATCTTGAATTTTTTGCTTGGTAACCTTTTTTTGTACTATGTCACACCCTTTGATGCAGAAAAGCAAGCTTTAGACAAAAAACTACAGCATTTGGGTGTTGACCATAGCTACACCCCCTTAAATTGAGTCATGCCCCTGAGATCATAGGTATGGCTATTTTTATCATTTGAAAGTTATTCATCGATATTTGGGCATATGAAATTCTTGGTGTGTGTAATCTCAAAGCCTGTTCATTCGCCTTTTTAAATGTAAAGAATATTCATCTATCTTGAATAGAAGTCGAAATATTTGCAAGTGAAGGGGTTGGAGGTTGCCTGGTATCAGAGGTAAAATTAGCGAGAGAATTGCCGCCTAAGTTTTACGACTTCCAAAGCATTTACTTTTTTTGTGCCTTTGGTCAATGTCTTTCAGTAAAATCCCTACAGGAATATGTTGTTAAATGGGCTTTACAGATATTGAGCCCAATACAAAATTTTAAGAGAAATTGCCCATCAGGCAGAAAAATGTCCTTTTCTGTGATTTCGTTATTTTGACAAGCACATGATTTCACCACAATACCACACAAATATTTACTACATTGTGTTCAAAAGCCAATTTGCCAAAATAGCTAGCCCGGTTTGACCATATTGAATGTTTTTAAATCAAAACTATTTCCTGTGTGCACTTCTGTATCAAATTGTAATCCTTTAACTGGTTTTCTTGTAAAAATGTCGAATATATTTTGTACATGACATAGAAGCACTGAAATGTGTATAAATATACATTTTTAGCAATGGCGTGATCCCTGAAGAGTAACAACAGATGTCAAACGTTGAAATCAAATCAAAGACAAACGTACAGTTTCCAGCAATCTTTTTTTGTGTTTCCCTTTAAATACAAAGATTGTCTGGTGACGGGTTGTGATTTTGTCTGTGTCTGTCTGTCTGTCTGTCTGTCTGTCTGTCTGTCTCTCTCTCTCTCTCTCTCTCTCTCTTTCTCTCTCCCCCCCCTCTCTCTCTTTCTCTCTCGTCGCTCTCTCTCTCTCTCTCTCTCTCTCTCTCTCTCTCAAGCAAGTGGTTAGCAGTTTTATATCTTCAGCAAGCTGTTAAAATGTACAAAGCTGAGACAGCGAATTTAGCTGGAGAGACTGTTTCATTCTTTTAAGGGTTGTTCCTCTACTTTTTTCTCGATTATCACTACACTTAGAATTTAAATTTGAACAAAAATATTTCTTGAGCACATACTATCAATAAAACAGTTGAAGAAACTGCAATTTTTAAATGATCAAAATTTTGGGCTTAGTACATTTTAACAGCATACGGTGGAAGCAGGCGCTCGTCAATTTTTGGGCATGTGGGGTTATTGGTATCATCTGAAAACTGGTTTATTTGCCTTGCTGTTAATGAAATAAATATCCATTTATCTAGAAGAGAACTCAAGATACTTGCGATTGAAGGAAGTGAGGTCACTTGGATTCAGTGATGAAATTAGCAAGAAAATGACCGCCAAAGTTTGGTAACTCCTATAGCTAAAGAGTCTTTGAAAACTGAAAAATAACATATTTTGTGCCTTTAATCAATTTTTTTCAGTAAAATTTATATGGAAATGTGTTTCCAAAAAGACATAAAAGAGGCTAAGCCAAGAAATAAAAATTTGATAAAAATCTCCTCTCTGGCGGAAAAATGCCTCTTTCTCGGATTTTGTTGTTTTGATGAGCGCCTGATTTCACTACTCCACACTTTTTTAAAGGAAATTTACCATTGGTAGATCCTCTGGTTTCTGATGGAGAGGGACAGATATTTGGGAAACAGTTTTAAAAAAAGAAAGAGAGGGAGAGGAAAAGGGAGGAAATGAGGGAGAGGAATAAGGAGAGAGAAGGGCCTTGTATGTATGAATTTGTACAGATTTTTAAAATGACAGAGAAGAAGATTGTGAAAACTTGCATGCAATATTCTACAGCAAAGGTATAGAAGTTTGCAGGAAATGTGTGCATATTTATCTACTTTGTGAAATTCTGAAATGTAACGCAATGTTAAAAAAGAACACGGGTATTACTGGATTTTGTTAAGCTTGAAAGCATTGACTAACCGTTCTTGACCATGAAATTGTATTGTTGTTTTTTTTAATTTAAGTATTTACACATCTTCTTTAACACAATTTAAGGGGCAGGTTTTTACCCTGCTTGTAAGGACTGAGAGGGATTCTGTGTTTCAGCAGAAAGACTGAGATACTTGATAAAAATTCTCCCGAAATGGGGAATCAAACTCTGGTTTTCTGCTTGCCACGATGAAGGGCCTTACTGCTGCACCAAACTCATGAGCTTTAACAATGTGTTCAAGAGGTGGACAGTGTTGTCATGTCACTACCTCCAAAGTTCTGTCTGCTCAGTGTCTAGTTTTGAGAAATTTCATCATCATCATCAATGCCTTTCACCCCTGGCAGGGTATAGGCCACATACAAGCTCCTTCCATTTATCTCTGTCCTGAGCCATCCTTCCAAGCTCGTTCCAAGTGAGCTTCATTTCTCTCATGTCCCTTTCCACGCATCTCCTCCATGTTTCCCGTGGCCTACCCCTGCCTCGTGCTCCCTGTGGATTCCACTGCAGTAACTGTCTTGTGATTTTTCCGCTGAGAAATTTAACGTTAAAGATTTTGAGTTTCACATCGTGTCACAGTCAAGCTTTTTCGAATGCAATTCTTTGAATATCTTGATAACAACTCCGAATAATCTTATGATTCTGACAGAACAGATAGAACATCTGGTTTCCGACCTCTTGATCTTAGTGACTCCAAACTGCCGAACATTTCAGATAGAACTTTTTAATTCTGAGGTAGCGATGTATCAAAGATAAGTCTTGTTGGTTCATGAGCAGATCTCTATTTTTGTCACTGTGTTTGAAAGAAGCTTATCATTTATCGTGGATGCTTTTTTTGAGTGTGTTTTACAAAGGTCTCATATTATGCTTTATTTATGGCTTTTGCCTTATATTATTATACAGATTAAAAAGTGGTTGATTTTGACCTTTTTTTGCTGATATTGTACGCAATTCTTTTGTACAACAGTTTTGATTCTTATGTTTCTATCTGTTTGTGATCTATTTTTGTACATTTAGATATTCACATCTATGACTCTATGGCATTGTATTGTATCTATTTGCTCTACACAAATTTGGTGGTTGGTGAGTGCTGTGGAGTGGTTTGCTCCGTCTTCCCTATCACTATCATCCTTATTCCTCCTTCTTTTCTTTTTATGTAACACTGGTAACACTTTCAATCTTGGCCCTTTTATGACCTAATAGTGTTGCAAATGCCGTGAAACTCTTACTCAACTAAAGTAGCTCTATGCATGTATTTTTATCCCTGTGACAGTACATATAATATGCCTTTGACGTACACATGTATTATTTTTGTCCTTATAACAT